TGCTCAGACAAGATTTTCCACTCAACACGCTCTTTCGCGCAGCGCGGAGAAAATAATGATTTTATGAGATGTATGGGATTTTGGTGGATAGTGTGAACAATTTCTTTTATTTACTTGAGAATTGATGTAATGCAAAGCATAATTTTGTGCATTTAGATCAAATCAAATTGTTTATTTGAAATTGTTTCGTCGGTTTGAAAAATAATTCCATCAGAAATTGACAAAACTGCGAATTAATTTCAATGAAAATGTCTTGATTATATGAAGTAAATGATTCATTCACTCCAAATTAAATTATTATCACATGTTAATTAATTTGATTTGAGTTTTTAAGTAATAAATCCTTCATTTGGATCGGATGAAATTGTTCATTTGGAATTTTTCCATTTGTTTGAAAAATAATTCCATCGAAAATTGATAAAATTGCGAGTTGATCTCAATGAAAATGTTTTGATTATATAAAGTACATGATTAATGCACTCTAAATGAAATGTTTATCATATGATAATAACTTTGATTTGACTTTCTAAGTATTAAATCCTTCATTTGCATCGATGGAACATTTGTTTATATTTAAAATACATTCAATTTGATGCGAATAAAATTGAATGATATTTATTTAATGATGATATTTATTCAATTCTCTGAGGGTATGAAATAATTCAATTTTTTCACTCTTTTAAATTAAAAATTCAATGATTGAAAATCTCAAAATCACTCTTGAAATTGTTTTACACACTGAGATAAAGAATTAGTTCTGCCGAAAAACTATATAGTCCACGTGAGAATATTTGATGGAGTGGAACAGAATAATATTCCATAACAATATGGATTATTATTCCATAATAATAATACATAATATTCCAACAATCACTCAACCCAAAATCCCCAGTTTTGTTGAATTTTCAAGATGAATACAAAAATTTCCAAAGCGACTTGATCTCAAATTCACTTCAAATTCCCAATCTCAAAAATTCTCCTGCAACTGTCACTTGAATTTCCCGAAATTTCTTTCACTGTAATAAATGCGGAACCTGGATTACCCCAACACCCATTAAACCTGAAATATCAGATCCACGGAATGCGGACTTCTCTGCTCTCATTAGTGGCTCGAAATTACACGCACTAAAGCTCATCCCCGCATGCTTGATTCGTATAATTACCTCTTTTTACTCATCCTGTAAAATCGATAGTCACGAGTACGTGACAATTTTCCGATTCCCGGTATTTGTCGGGAGTAAACAAAAAATGTTTATTGGATACATCCTAATGACGTAATTAGACCCACATACAGGCCTGATTATTCGTATTCACGCGTGAGGAATTGTTCTCCAAATTTGGTCACAGATGAGTTGTAATGAACAGAGGATTTCTTTGTTTCCTTCTTAATTTGAATCAAGTTTATGTAATTTCGTTTAATTTCAATGGCACAAACACTCTCGTAATTTATCACTGCTCGCGGAATAATTCAGCTGATAATGCGTTGTGAATTCACTGGGGAATTGGAGAATTGAAAAAGAGAAATGTCTGGTACTCCGGGAAGATCCACTGGGGGGAAAAGCGGCGCCGTATTGGACGCCAACTCCTTTCGTATAAGGAGCTGCTGCCTTCTTTCTAACCATCTCGTTTTTTTCCACGCGTTTGTGCGTATTCTATAGAGTCTGTCTACTTTTCTGTAATGTTTACTGGCAGTGTACATACTTTGGTGCATTTTTTTCATCGATGAACGATCCTCTCGGGAGCTCGACGGCTATTTGTCAGGGGGAAACGCACAGTCTGTGTTATACCGAATGGAAAAAATTCACTTGAACGGAGAGGAAAGGGGAAGAGGGGAGTGGAAAAAATTGCCTCCATTATGTGATTTTCTATATGGCTTCCTCCCCAGAGCTGAAATGCAATGTGTTCCGAGCAGCGAGCAGGCAAAGGAAGAGGATTAAAAAATCATTAAATACCGAACTGAGAGTGGGAACACTGCGAGCTGGAGGTGTGCATATGCTGCTGATAACATTCCTAGGGGTCGATAGAAATATCACCGTGATAAACTACATTGAGTTATATTTAGCGTGACTACGTGCAAATGCGCGAAAGGGAATCACTGAGTATTTACGGTTTTTTAGAAATTTTAACAATTTTTCGCATTTTAGAACTCGACGATATTCAGTCAATACTAAATTTTGGAAAGATTTGTTTGGAAGTAATTCTTTAAATATTTCAAACTTCAATGTCTTGAAATGCAAGGTTTTTCTAGCTTTATTTGGATGAAGATTGGAACGACGAGGAAACTTTTCAGTTCTCAATTTAATTTCCATTTTGCCTGGGTTTCTCCTGTATTTTTAATGAGCTGAATTTTTAATTGAAGCTGAAAGTAACTCTATCGAGTAAAGATCAAATTAACAACGCAATAATGCAAGAGGGTAAATACTGTGGAAGATAAAAATAATTTCAACACCTCCAAAAAATTATTGTTTCATTAAGCTCAATAAAGAAAGCACTACTATTTGTGGGAGATAATTTTGGATGTCTATTTTCATTCTTGTTCATAATTTCCATTTAAATTACCAAAAACCGTATTCCCAATTAAAGAATACATCCCTTCATGTGCAACGACACATGTCTCCTGTATGAGCTCATCTCCTCCCATCGCAATTTTTCAAAGTCAAACCGTTTCTCGGACTGAAACCCAAATGAGCATTTTCAGCTCGGAATATCAACAAAAGTTACGCAATAAATTTGGGGATGAGACTTTCGATGTGTACACTGCCACGATCCCCCATAATTGATGTTCCTACACGGAGAGAAAATTCTAGCAAAAATTATTGTGCTATTCCTCGTGGGACCAAACCAAGGCCACTAATAAATTCGGATGTGGCACCCAAATTTTCTAAGGGAATCTCACTATCCGAATTTTTTCGTGAATAAAATGAAAATTTGTCTGAATTTCAAACATGAATTACGATGTTTAGACACCTGTTCGTCTGAAATTCAGACAAATTTTCATTTTATTCAGACGTTTTCTAGTGTCTGAAAAATGTCTACAAAATGTGTGTGAAATTCCAACATTAGTTTTTGCTGTGTAGCGTCCGTGAAGCGCTGTCTTACGGCCGGAATGAGAAAAAAAATTTTATGTAGTACGTCTTTACTTGCATCAAGAAACTCCTGGCTTGAAAATTGACAAGAAGGAAATATCTCCCACTGAGAAAGGAAATCCTTCGTCAAGAGATTTTGTACTTGTCCGAACGATGAGGGGAATTCATTCACAAAAAGAAAGTGACTGCTCGAACCAAGTGAAGTGGTTTCTGCATTAAAAGAAATTGAATTTGAAACTTAAAAACGACTGAACAAATTGATTCAACTAGACTTGATGAGTAGAAAATTTCCTGACGAAAGTTTTATCTGTCTGAGTGCAAGATATTTTCTTCTTGTCAATTTTCGAGTGATGAGTTTCTTGAAATAAGTAAAGAAAATAAAAAAAAATACTGTTCTATTTTATTTATTCACCACTTTTTAAAATTTTTTTTGTTTTGTCCTTTTTTTCGTATTCATCAAATAATTTTTTTTCCTCAGTCCCCTAATTTTTAAAATGACTCACACGGGATCGTCAGGTATTTTTCTCTCCGTGTACATTGGTAGCAAAAATGGAACGATTCAGTTGCTGTAAACGAGGCTTTTTAACTACACTGTTAGAAATTTTTTGAAATTTAAGTAACGGATGCATTTGAATTTTCACTATTCAGAACTTGAATTCAATTTCAGACTAAATTGCTCACGGAATTCCCGATTCATCTGAGAAATTCAATAAAATTAAGTTTCTCATTACGAATGATCATTGAATTTTCAATGACAATTTGGATTTTCAAACTGCTCGCGAAAATTAAGTAACAGATTGAAAATTCAGGCAACTTTTCTTCTGAATTTTCAGTAATTTTCATTGTCGTATGAACCTGAGAAATCAAATTTCATTGAATATTCGAGAACATTGATTTATCAATAACAAGATGAATGGAAATTCCATGTAAATTATTTGTTCCTAAAAATTTCAAGATTTTCTACTTGAAATTTCAACAGTAATTTTTTACCAGTGTATTCCCACGATTCGTTAACTATTAATGCATTGTGGTAATAGTTGAGAAGTCTCGTTAACAGCCCCTAAATTCTTCTATAAGTCCTCCACCTCCAACTCTGGGTGGGTGAACGCCGGTCTCAGTGTTTCACCAAGAGGACTCCCGGAAAAAACAACAGAGGCGTACACCATTATCACATGCAGCAAAGACTCCCTAACTCAGAAGTGCATGAATACACCAGTTCATATCCATTGCGCATAAAGCACGAAAGTGGTGGACCCAAAGGCTCGACGAGAAAACATACCGCTCAATATATCGATCCAGCTTACTCGCGCCTCCGTGCCAGGTAAGCCCAGGTAATGCGAGCCGCATGCCGGGTCGACGCGAAACGAGAAAGAATTTCTTTTCCATTCGAAATACCTCACTCTCGGCTTGAACCGTGGAGAAATAAATAAATAATCAAAAAAAAACACAAACAATAAATCGAGAAGAAATCCTGGGGGAAATAAGTGGAGTACCCGTACATATGGGCACAGATACATGTACAAAAAACCAATAGGAGAAAATAAGACATGAAAAATTTGAAATTTACAATCACGCGATGAAGTAGCCCGCGTGTTCGTGACGCCTTTGCCGTTGGGCACGGGCAAATTGTCCCTATTGTTGACCATGTCTCTTCTTTGCACCATGAACCCACGGAATTTCCACTTATGAATCCACGGGGAAATTAATATTAATGAGTCCATCCAGCGGATTACGAATGACAAAAAAATGGTAAAAAATAAGTGACCCACCTTGTCCCGTTGACTTTCAAATGATCTGTTATACGTTCAGTGTAAGCCATTTGTATTCATTGAATTCTGATTTTTCCCAGAATTCCCCTGAAACCTAAAAATAATACTAACCCCATACATTATTTCTTTTCTTCTGCTACGACAGGTAGAATGTCATCGAGTGGTGTATCGAGTGGTGCTGTGAGTCAAGTATGTCGTCCCCACTTTCACGGTATTCATCCCTGGTTACCAAGTGCAAGTGGTGATACATCAAAAGCCTGGGCATTTCCAACAACAACAGCATCAACAGGCGGTGGAAGTGAAGAGAAACCCCAGAGTCCACTTGGTTCATCCTTATCCCTAACGAGTCATGGAAATGGTGTTACTGCCGGTCATCATCCCTTCTCATTTCCCCCAACGCCACCAAAAGACGCAACGCCAGACAGCATAACAACTAGTACTAGTTCAACAAATAATAATAGTAGTAATAGTAATAATAATAATACAACATCAAGCAATAATAATAGTAGCAGTACAGGCAATAATAATGGAAGTAGTGGTATTGGTATTGGAACAGCGAGTGGTGGCACTAGTGAATATCAAGCGGCAGTGGCACATGCAGCTGTTATGGGTGCATTTATGCATCATCAGGATGCACTTGGTGGTACTGGTGGCTCGTGTGATGTTAAACCATCGGTAATGCTGGGACATCATCATGGTGCATCATCACCAACGCATCAGCAACATCCGTCAAATGGCTCGGGACAGGTTAAACAGCGTGAAGGTAACAATCAGTCGGCAAATACAAATGGTACAACAGCTGGAAATAATACAGTCAACGGCCAGACGACAAACCAACAAGCTAATACAACTGGCCAACAGCAGCAAGATTATCAGAATACTGGTGGTGCAACATCACCATCTTGCCGTGACTCGTATCATCCCACTTCCCATTCAGCACATCATCATCACCATCATCATCATCCCACCTCAGGCTCCCAATACGATCCAACAGCTAGTGCATACAATATGTATCAACACCTACAGTATCCAACCCATCATACCCACAATCCTCACAATGGCTCGTCATTATTCTCTGGTAGTCATCATACCACTGGTGTACCTGGTGTTAGTCCCGATGCTAAACTTCTCGGTTCCACGCACGGCAACACTCCCAATTCGCCCGGTTCCCAACAACAGCAGCAGTCTAAGACAAGGAACAAGTCCAGAACGTCCGCCGGTAAGCGGCACTATTTTATTTTTTGTTTTGTCCTCACTTTTTTCGTTTTTTTTTTGGTTTTTATGTTGTTTTCTTTAGTTTTTATCATTATTTCATCCTTCCTTTCACGGCTTGGTTATTGGGTTGGGTTTTTATCCTTTATTTTCATTCTCACCAACACTTCCTGTTCCTTTTTTACTTTTGATCCTATGGTTATGGGTTATTCACGTTAATTTGCATTGCCCCATTATTAAAAATTCATATTATGATTTTTGGAAAATGGACGTTATCGGACTACACCATGAATTTTGTATTTTGCCTCACCTATATATTGACCTGTTTTGAGTGGCACCCACCAATGCGCGCACACCTTGATTTCCGAGAGATATGAAAATGAAAAAACAACTTTTGTTGAATAATTGAATAACATTCGGAAGAGGAAATAATCACGAGAGCACGTTTTTATCGATGTGGTGTGGCTACAGTTTGTTTCACTAAAGCAAGAAATCCACCAATTTTTGATGTGGTCTCTTTTTTTTAATGTTCCACGGAGATAAAAGTTGAGGGAGAATTACTGAAAACCTTAAGTAATTGTGAAGCGAAGGAAGAATTTCCTCCGTCTGAAATGGTGAAATTTAGTCAGAATTTCATCAAAAATTCATTCAAAAATTCAAAAGCCATTTTTTTTACCTGATAAGGCATAAATTTTCCTTTCTTAATATTCCTTTCAATCATTTAAAAATCGAATCATTTTTTAGGAATCTGGGCAAAATTATAAAACTCAACGCAAAGTATTTTTTATTAACATCTCATTCTACGATGACTTTACGAACAGCAAAATTTACCTCAATTTTCTGAATAATTTTTCCTCAACATTTCTCTTCATGTGTAATCCCAATGCTGATATAGTGAGAAGCATCCCTGAAAAATATAAATATCCAACACATGATTGCCACAGTCACTGGTAATTATACTCTGAGTAGGTCAGTTCCATTACCTCCAAGAGAATTGAAAAAAAAACCAACCCTAATCTCACAAACAATGGATTGACGATTGCGGTACCACGCTAATTAGATTCCCTTACTTGCGACATGCATACACTTTTTACGTGTGTGGATGCGCTCTACCGTGTCACTCGACTGGAAATATTTCGAGGGAAATGAGACATCCATCCATTGAAATTGTTGAATTAATGTCAATGAAAATTTATCGCATCTTTTGTCACAATATCTGCTGCCATTTGTCTCCAGGGGATGACCACGTAAGATCGGCTGTTACTTACCATTGAGTCAATTGATGAACATTCGAACCACATCATCCTCCCATTGTTCCTCAATCCTCATCAGCCAAGAGTGTAACACCTCAATCCCTTGATAATTGAATAAAAATAATAACATTCCCACAAACTTCTGCTTTTGCTCTGGTAATCGCTTATTGGTATGTCGGCAATGCATGTGAATTAATGATTAACTGTTTCTCGTTTCAGAGATGATGAACTTTTTACTCTCTCAACCAAATGATTAATTTTGTGCGTTAAGGAGAAGGTGAACATTCGAATTATTCTCGCTCTTTAAAATTTCATCATCTCTGTATCACTGAAATGCTTTGATATTCGCAAAAAAAATGCGGGAAACGAATTTTTAATCAAGAATATAAGGTTCATCTCTTTCCTTTATTTGGCATATTCTCAGTTCGGTAACACTGGTGGAAATTTCTTTAAATTTGAGTCATTTAATGTTGATTTCAATTGAATTTTCAATAGAACGAGAAATGACATCAATAATTTCCTGAATTTTCACAATGTTCAATCATTTTCATTGTCAAAAGAACCTGAAAATTCAAATTTCATATTTTACACAAGGACGAAAATTTCATAACTTAGTTGAATTATCAATCAAGACATGAATATTCAAATAAATTGAATTGGAATTTCTATGCATTTCAAATTTCCCTAAAAATTCAATGGAGTTACAAATTTTTGGGAACAGGAAGAAGAGAGAACATGAATAATCAGTATCAAATTCAGCAGAATATCCAATTACTTGAAAATTCCAGAATATATTCACCTGAATTTTCCTGCTTTCTATTGATTTTCACGAAAAATTTTCTGTTTCCATTAATTTTTCCACGAAACTGTAAATTTTCAATGATGAAATTCCTAAAAATTTCAGTGGAATCATGTCATAAAAATTTCCAAGAAGCACACCATAAATTCCATCCAATTTTTTTTTTAATGTTGAATTAAAATTGATTTGATGAATTTGTTCGGCTTTGCGGTCATTCGTGATTCCTCAGATGTTCGAGGTACATTGTGTTCAAGCTCCACTGAAATTTCAGGAAATATTGCCATTGAAAAATCAAATATTCCACTGATTTTCTGTCCGAATGATCTGAAAATCCATAAAATCCTCGATTTTTCAGCTTAATTATTCCATGAAAATTCTGAAAAATCAGGAAAATTTAGGGAAGAATTGAAAATTCACGTCGACATATTTCTAAATATTCATGTTCCACTGAAAATTCAATCAACTCGTGAAATTTCCGTCTCACTCCCACTGAAAGCTCATGAATTTCCGTGAATTCTACTTAAAACTTGAAATTTCATAACCATTTTTCCCCAAATTCGATCCAATGTCACTATCATAAAATTAACTATAATACCTTCCATCAAATTTCAAAAAAATTCTATCAATGTATTTGAATCCCATCAAATGCGATCTTTCAACTAAAAAAGGTACATAATTCGCTATTCACTCACTCCCAATTAATATTCCACGTGAATTAGTCATTACTAAAAATGTCAAAATTTTGAACTTGAAATTGCAGCTACAATTTTCCAAAAGTGAAAATCGTATGCTCTTGATTAAAACATCCCTTTCCCCAAAGACAATAACAACAAATGCAAAAAAAAACCCTATCAAAAACTAATGACTACCACCCGTTTGCCGGGTTGACAATTGATACTCGTAGAGGGACGTGAATGCGTCAACTGTGGAGCAACATCGACGCCACTGTGGAGAAGAGACGGCACCGGACATTACCTCTGTAACGCCTGTGGACTTTATTACAAGATGAACGGACAGAATCGGCCGCTGATTAAGCCCAAGAGGCGCCTGGTAAGTACCTCGTAATCCCTTCACTCATTTCGCCTTCATGTGCGGTATAATAAATCGATACGACACATGGGGAAAAAAAAATCCCTAATGCATTCGATGCGCGCCCTGAAATTATCGTTTGATTGATTCGATGTACATTAGTGTCTCTCTGCCATTAACGATATTCGGCGACATCCAGGAGAAAAATATAAACATTGTGACACGACGACGTGTCTCAACCACGCCCCATTCGTTTTTCTCCGACGAAAATATTATTTCCCCCTCCCCCCGTCCCGGTCAAGCGTGTGTGTGTGCCAATGTCCATGGAATATGTATCGGTTTAAAGCCGGGGGATGTCATTTAATGCTCACACACAGGTACAATATGTAGTCTATAATTTTCGTCACCAACGCAGGGGCATTTTCCGCTGTCGACTCGGTATACACTATATACACTATTTTCTGGGTATGCTGGTCGTATATTTGTACGGAGTGAAAGAGATGTGTCAATAGAATACGCCCTCTCCCCGCCGATGAAATGTCCACGTGACGGTGATTTAGCAGGTTTTTGAAAATACCCTTTACGAGATTAATATTTGTTGTTACTCGGGAATTAATCGGCATTCATGGATTCAGAGAAATGTTTGATTTAAATTAAATGCGGGCAAGAAAATGATACCTTGTTTTAGGATTTCAAAGGGGTTAAAATTGGGTTTTTAAATGTCTTGAGTTTCGAAAGTCTTCATTTGAGATCCATATGAATGATGATGAATTTAATCCTTTTGGAATTGATACTTTCGAATCGTCTTGGAATTTTTCTTTAAAGGAAGGTCTGAAAGTTTCAACTTTAGACTTTTGAAAATTTGAATTTGCGATCATCACTCGTAAAATAAAGCTGGTTTGTTTGCTGTGGAGTTTGTTTGAATCAAATGAATGGATTTATGTGAATAGTTGGAGGTAAAGTTTTTTTTTAAGTCGAACTTAATTTTTTATTTGCTTTTTTATTTATGTCGAATCAATAGATTTTTATGTAAAAAATATTCACACATAAAAACCATAAAGACTTTATGGTTTAAATATGAAATTGTTGTTTGGTGTTAAAAAAAATGGAATTTCCCCTTCAACGAAATGTCCACGTGTCGGTGATTCAGCAGGTTTTATGAAAATACACTTTACGAGATTAATATTTATTATTGTTCGAGAATTCATCGGGATTCATAGATTCAGAGAATTGTTTGCTTTGAATTAAATAGAGTCTATTTAAATCAAATTAATGAATTTATTTCAATATCTTCTGATTAATTTTTCTTTCAACTTGAACTTGATTTTTATTCCCTTTCTTATTCATTTGAAAACAATTTTCTGAATGAAAAATATTGATATAAGAAAGCTTTGAGTTGATATGAAATCGTTGTTCACCCTCAGAAAATAACTGAATATTCAATAAAATTCCGAATATTAGAAAGACCAGAACTTTCCCATTTACTTGAATTAAACAACAACATGAATATTCAATAACAAATTTTTCTGAATTTTATCAATCATTTGAAATTCAAAACCCTATTTATCTGCATTTTTCTCATTTGCATTGATTTTCTCAGAATAATTGAACTGAAATTCACAGTTTCTATTGCGTTTTCCATCAAATTGTGATTTTTCAATGACAAAATTCCTTAAAATGACAGTGTTCAACATCTAATAATCTTTTATTTGAATTGAATAAAAAGTATTATTTGATTGCAATCGCTCATTTCTCTGGCTGTGATGAATCATTTTTTTTACGATCATGAACTTGAGTGTAACATTATTCAGGTAAATTATTTCATCGGCGTTACACACATTAATTAATTTTTTCCCCTCACTTCTAAAAAAAACGTAAAATCTCACTATTTTTCCCTGCTTTCATTAACTTATTCACTCGAGTTATAATTGCGTGTTTCGCCTCGTCGCACGAGTGGATAAAAAGTAAAACTCCTCGCGTGTGTGTTTGATGAGTTGAAAATGAAAGAAAAGAGAAAAAACTGAGTATTAAAAGTAAAATCATTCGCCAGAATTTTCTCACTTTTCACAAGTTTTGTTCTGTTCCCTGGTGCAGAGACACTAACTCTTAAATTATTGTTTCATTGCGACTGTTATTATTATAATGGGTTGGATTTTGAATTTTAGATCGTTTTATTTTATGTCACCTGCATGGCGAACAACACCAATGGGGCACTAGCCTCCCCTTTCCCCCCACTTTTCACCCCCCTCCCAGGCACGATGATGCAGATAGCAAGGGTTGCAACGAAACCTTCTGTCCTGTTATATTTCTATACACACATGGACGCTCTCCGCCATGTTTGATCCTGCGCGGAGATAACACCCAGACAGCTGGGAAATTCTCCATCTCGTCGGTTCATTTTTTTTTACTTCTTTTTTTGTTCGAGTGCTTCAGGGGTGGTAGCTAATAATTTTGGTCTCATGGGGGTTTAATTTTTATTTAGGGGTTTTAAAATTCATGGTGGTCTTCAGGAATATTTCGTAATTTAAATGAACGAAGTGAAATTGTATTGATACAAAGAATTTGTCTAGAGGGAGAACGTTTTTAGTTTTTTAAATGAGTTATTGATTTTGTGAAAGGCGTGGTTCTAACATTCATTGAGAATGAAGAATTGTTTACGCGATTTTATAACGAAATATGAAAAATTCAGTACTGAAAACTTATTTATTTCACGTGACAAATGCAAAAATACGGAAATCGGATAACCCAGCGGGAATCGGATCGGTCGGTGGAATACGGATTTTCTTAAAATGCGGAAATTTGTGTTCTTGAAATGAGAAAATCCGAAAGGGATAAATTCTAGTATGAATTGAAAATGCAACATTAATTGAGTCGGCACATGAGGTGATGTACTCTCAATACCAAAGAAGATAGGAATTGTATTGAGACAGAATTATAAATTCCAGAAATATTATACAAGATACTAGAATCATGAGTAAATCAATTTTCAGACAGGAAGACTCATCAATTCAACAACGCGAATGTTGTAAATTAAAAAACCAAAATAGGAAATGTATGTGAACATTCGAGAATTTATGCTAAGTTTGAGCAAAATAATAGAGAATAAAAACGGTTTAATCTGATATTGAATGAAAATCTTACGAAAACTAGAGATTTCATCCTCTATGCTTTTCATTTCTCCTTTGAAAACTGCTGAAGCAAAATGGTTTCTTTTTTTCATTTCTTATAAAATTCCCTTGTCTTTCCGATGTCACCATTCACAAGAAAGAGTGAGAATATATATGCAAATAATGAAATAAATTGATAAATCGGAAGTTATCAATTCAATACCACGAATATTCTGAATTATCGATTACCGCGTTCACACAGGAAAAAAATAATTTCATATTTTCTCCGTGAAGTGCGAGACTAATAGTGAATCCCTTCATTGGCCCAGGAAAATGTCCTGAGCGTAACGGTAATTTGCGCCGTAACTGTAAAATTTACCCTACATTCCATCAAAAATTATCCCAGTCAACGCGAATGACTGCTGAATATTGCGTATTTATTTTTCTGTAACAGAGAATTACTTTTTACCGAACGAATCGTCAAATATACAATAACTGAATTACATTTCGCTCTACGATTACCTTTCCTGTAATCCAACTTATCCAACATTTCTCACCGCATATGAAATTCCCGTCTTTCCAATGCTACCACTCCCAACCTCCGAGAAAGAACGAATAAATAATCAACTATTGAATCGCGAATAATAAAATAAATTGATAAATCGCATATTGTAATTTTTGAGCTTCTGCATTCCCCCGACCTCTCGATTCTTATCAATAAACTCTGGCGAGTTGTGGCCCCAGCAAACGCCACACTGAGCATTCCACCGGTGAACCGTTATCCTTGCCTTCTTCACTCAGCACCCCATGGGTCCGCCGTAACTTGGCATCGTTAGGACACATCTTTCTGATAAATGCATTTACCTCCGCCGCCATTTTACCCAGGCACGATTGCATCAATTCCAACCGATCATCACTAGCAAAACAAAAGCCTCCGTCCGCTAATAAATTCGCGCACAACGCACGAATGAAACATCACTCAGCATCGAAGAATCACCTCCACCAGTTCAATTCTGAATGTGAGGAAAAGTAAAGGTCTCGACCGTGACATATTATCCAGCCCCGGGGGCCCCGTGTGAGTGAATATACACCATTATAACTTTTTTAATCCATTAACCCTCCCCTCAAATCCCCACCCCAGCCGTTGAAATAGAATTCACTTCGCGTTACTCTCGACTCTCAACGACTTGAGAAACTTTTTCCAAGACACTTTGAGTCACTGCTATCACCGCGTGTTTTTATATCTTCACAATTTAATGTAACCATTTTCGTGAATTGTGTTTAAATTTANGAAAGAGTGAGAATATATATGCAAATAATGAAATAAATTGATAAATCGGAAGTTATCAATTCAATACCACGAATATTCTGAATTATCGATTACCGCGTTCACACAGGAAAAAAATAATTTCATATTTTCTCCGTGAAGTGCGAGACTAATAGTGAATCCCTTCATTGGCCCAGGAAAATGTCCTGAGCGTAACGGTAATTTGCGCCGTAACTGTAAAATTTACCCTACATTCCATCAAAAATTATCCCAGTCAACGCGAATGACTGCTGAATATTGCGTATTTATTTTTCTGTAACAGAGAATTACTTTTTACCGAACGAATCGTCAAATATACAATAACTGAATTACATTTCGCTCTACGATTACCTTTCCTGTAATCCAACTTATCCAACATTTCTCACCGCATATGAAATTCCCGTCTTTCCAATGCTACCACTCCCAACCTCCGAGAAAGAACGAATAAATAATCAACTATTGAATCGCGAATAATGAAATAAATTGATAAATCGCATATTGTAATTTTTGAGCTTCTGCATTCCCCCGACCTCTCGATTCTTATCAATAAACTCTGGCGAGTTGTGGCCCCAGCAAACGCCACACTGAGCATTCCACCGGTGAACCGT